CTTGATAATAATTAATTTATTTGTGAAGCCCGATGAGTTTTTGGAATATAGACCAAGGTTTATTCTTGTTACAGCAGATATGGACAGGGCCTAAGCCGAATGTTACAAAGCACCAAGTTTATATAGCCTGAGATTACCAGAGGACGTACATTTCAAAGTGACAAGGTGACAACTCCTACTGAGGTGTGGCCCGATGTGCTTGATCTGATTTGCATCCATATTCACGTGCATTTATCACTTCCCGACAAGAGTAGCAAGCAAAATGAGACAGAAGTATTTCCGTTGAAGGGTCTTTCTAACAAACCAAATGAGTTTTAGTTACAAGACCAAATGTGTTTCTAAAAGATAAACTAATCACTATTTTAATTTAATCAATCATGATCAATATTTTCCTGTGATAGTCTGGTCTGAGGTAGACATCACATTCATTTACACAAAGACTGATCAAGAGAAATCTTTTCGCAATATAAATTTCCATCACAGGACTTAAAAAGGTCTTTACAAACCTCTTAAATTTGGAGTAATCGAACCTGGAGACCCCCTGATGATGTTGCTGCGATGTTCGTATGTTTTTTCAGCTGATTTACACCAGTTTTAGTGCTGTCCTTCTATCAGTAGACGCACGACGACAGCACCATCTGCAGTTCGATTTTTTCAGGAAAGCATCCCAGGTGTGTAAGAGTAAAAGCTTCCCCCTTATCAAGCTTTATGGTCTTGTGGACACATTTCCATATTTCAATTCTCCTCCTTAAGTCAGCGACAATGTTTTCTGTCCTCTAAGGTATTGGATCTTTATTATGGAATCTTTATTTTGTGTTATGTCACAGCACAACAAACAGAAAGTAGTACAGAGATGAATGCAATCTGTACTATTTGACTCCAAGACTGACTCATACAACTGAAAGACTGACGCTCGAAATGGAGTGGGAAGAAGTAACACTTATTTTTAACCCACTCCAGTGTCAGAAAAGACAATGTGGTTTTCTGTTTTGAGTTGATCAGAAAAGCTGGATTTGTGCTGTTCCTGTTCTGTTCTACGACTGTGAATGAGCAGTCGAAACGGTCAGATCATCAAACTCTGGTCTGGAAAAAGTAATCTGTTACCATTAATTATTAGAGGACCAAGTCAGCATATAAAGCAGCCCATTACATTATGAGTCCCACACACAGTTTAATGGATTTCTGCGTATTTTCCATAGTATCTGGCCTCATCTAAAACTCTGTTCCTCCTCTGGAAATCTTCCCCATATAAAAAAAAGAAGAGGAAAAGCTCATGGCCATTCTTCTTTGTTCTTTAGTCTCTGTTATGAGAGGCATTAAACCACATATGGACTTTCATTGAATTAGATAGAAGATACAATCAGCAAAGCTCTGGGCCAGGCCACTTTAGGAAGAAAAGCTGAGTAGTACATTTGAGACATTAGTACTGCAAGTATTATCCTGAACAAGCAAATGGGCTCTAACAAAAGAATAGAATATATTTTGTGACCAATTAATAAAGGAAAATGTAGTAGAAAACGTAGTAGGTAAATGCAGTCGTGGAATAGTAATAGTAGAATCAAAATACCTAATGCTGTAGTACCGAAGTAAATTTAAGATGCAATACGTTTGATAAATACTTTCAACTTGAGTACTATACAGAAAGTACTATTACTGAGTCCCTGCCCTATTCAATCAACTCTTCCACAGTGTGTTCAGTTTAGAATAATAAAGTATAACATCTTAACAGTTTAGATGCCTCAACACTAAATCCATCTCTGTGTATTTGAAGTTACAGCAATGTCCTTGAAGCCAGTCGGAGTGAAGGCAACATCAGACGCCCACGTCCACCATACATAAGACAGAAATAATGGGCTTTATAGTTCACTTAGAGACACTCAAACTCAGTGAACCCAGGGAATCGAGCACGTCTAGCTCAGAGGATACACAAGATGGCTAGCACAACAAATAGCAGATTAACTACACACATCTGTAATGTCTAAAAAGTTGTCTGACACAGCAGTATTTCAGTGAAAGAATAGAAATGGGATAAAGGGGATGTGAATGCACCAAGCTAACATAAGACATAATCCACACACACAACAGCCTAATCTGATTACAACACTGCAGTGAACAGGAGTGGTCCAAAATACACAAGAATGAAGGTCTCTCTCTCTCTACAAAATGAGATTTATAATGCAAATCGAGCAATGTAGGTAGTGTATTCCTCTCTTGAGAATAATTTGAAGAGAATGGTTGGTTTTCAATGTACAAGGTTTTCAAGGACCAGTATTGCTTTTCTGGTGTTAACAAAAAGAAATGGTGGACCCAAAAACGTAAACAAAATAATTCGGTAGTAGACACATGATTAAGACAGTTTAAGTCTTCATATTATAGTCAAGGGTGTAGTGGGCGTAGTACGCATCGGTACGACGTTCCACCCACTTCTCCTGACACGAGATATAAAAAACAAATATAAAATAGCTACAACTTAAATGTCAAACCGGAGCCACTGGCAATGGGGAAAACAAACTGCATAGGCTCATGATATCTGCAGTACTGTGCTATAGTGACTTGAGACATGAGGGACCAGGACTGAAACAGGACAAAACCAGGACAAAAGCAGGACAAAAGCAGGACAAAAGCAGGACAAGCAGGACAAAAGCAGGAGCACTAAAACAGGACTGAACCAGGACTAAACCAGAACTGAATCAAGACTGAGTGTATGGACGGGCCTGGAGGTGCGCCCAGGTAGACCGTCAGGTGACCGCAGGCAAAAGGTCCGGCTCAGAACTCCATGCCCCACGGGGCTAAGCGCAGCCGTTGCCCGATCATGCTTTGTGGACACCCTGTTTCACGGGCTCAGGGTTCTCCCTCTTACTCTCAAGTCCAGGATTAGTTGTGGGTTAGACCTAGTTTAGACCTTGTTTAGACCTAGTTTAGACCTAGTTTAGACCTAGTTTAGTCCTGGTTCAGTCCTGGATTCAGTCCTGATTCAGTCCTGATTCAGTCCTGATTCAGTCCTTGTTTAGACCTGGTTTAGTCCTGGTTCATGTGTTGTAGCCTAGACTTTATGTTCTGTAGGTGATTATAAATGGCGTATACGGGACCGAAGTTTATGACTGTATTGCAATTCTACTCTAACTGCCAAGTGGTGCTGTCATGATAAATACGATACCACAATGATAAAAAATACATATACAATATAATGTGTATTAAAATAATAATGCTTTGTTTAAGTTATCATGTGGTTCTATCGTGGTGTTGATCAAGTTCAAGCTTACTATTTTTGTCCTGTTTATGTGGATTTTTGAAGTATCAACACCTGCTCAAACGAGTATTTCATTTCGATACCAGTTTGAGTATTGTTTAGTATCCAGTTTTTGATACTTTTGACAACCCTACTGCCAATTACATCTGACCAAAAACCCTAAAACCCTAACCCAAAATTGAGTCAATGCAAATGTCTGAATGAAAATATTTTTTCAATATATTTTTTGGTTTTTGATTGATATTATAAACATACAGCTTTTCAAACATTTAAGAGGGTTTAGCTCTGAAAATATTGGAGCTCTGAAAATATATAGTAGCCATTACAACTATATAAAATCACCCAATCATAAGGTAGAAAAGAAAATTGTTTTAAAGTGGTTTAGCTTTTGCTTTGCCTTTTTATTGCTTTCTGCGTGTTTGTTAGGTCTATCTGATTTCATATATAGCACACAGGCTCATATCCTGCCCCCTTCACACAATACACTGGGTTATTTTTAATGCCTACTTTATTGCTCTGAAACAAGACACGTTTTGCTTATGAGGCAATAAGACTTGAGTTTTATTTATGGGCCCTGTGCAGATGTGAGCAAAATACCTCCGAGCAGCAAGTTCTGTTTCGGTCGTGACAAAAAAGATTAGTCTGCAGTCTGCATAGTTATCGCCGAGGGTTTGCACTGCTCTTTAATGTGGATCAAAGGTGCCATTCTGAAAAATCTCTCCAGGCTAAATAAAGCATACTTCAATTTTTTATTACTCAAGTTGGAGTAGGGTTCATCCAGATCACTAAACAATGACAAATTCAGGTTTGCACAAGTCTGGTGAGCACTAGTGTTGTCACGATACTAACATTTAAAACTTTGAATAGACTTTACTCAATATTGATTCCGATACTCCGATACTGATGATATGAGATATTCAGCTTTAAATAATAGTACTTTCTTTTATGTTACCATGTGGCCTTATATCTGTGTAATCCCTCAGTCGTCCAGGAAGGTTCCACAGTGCTCCATGAGCATAAACTAGTCTATGTGGTCTTATACTTGTTCTGATAGCTCAAGATCATTCTAAAGCTATTGAGGAAATGTTCATTTCTGTCGTGTGAATGTGATTTTTAGTATTGATAATTGCTCAAAAGAGAATCTAGTTTCTATACAAGTTTTAGTATTGATTAGTATTTGATTTTCTATACTTTGGAAAGTTTAGTGAGCACATGACTACCGGTATTATCCTATATTTTCTATGACTAGACCTTTTAAACAATCAGAAATGTACGATGCAATGACAGTTCACCATGTCAAAACCAAAACAAAATTGTGGCTTACGTAGAAATCTGTTTCCATAAAACATAAAAAAGTATTGTAAAATTGGATAAGCAGCATTATTAGGAATGTCACAATAACCGAAATATTGTGATATCGTATCGTCAAAAGTCTCACAATAATGCGTCATCACAATATATCGAATCACAAGTTCCTTTGCTTAAATGCATGGTTTTATAGTAGCAACAGGTTATAAACATAGGGAACCTCGTATTCCATGATTTATTTCAGTGCAGACAACATGAAGATATATGTTTTTAACTTGAAGTTTACTTGTACTTGAGGTTTGAATATTGTTACATCCCTAAGAATTATATTAAGCTAGAGTAAGAGAATCCTAAATCCTAAATCTCGTAATAGTAACTTCCACCAGAACTGTTCATTCATTTTCTTATATTTATAAAATGGAAAGAAAAATAATGGCCATACCTGATATGTGTTGTCAAAGCTGTCGTACATGAACCGCGTGATGAGAGACGTCTTCCCAACTGCAATAAACAAGAGAAACAAAGTGATTAGTCAAAAGGATGTGTCATGCTGCAGTCGCATCCCAGACACGGTAACTAGTGGCAGCAGAAGGGGATTGTGGGTGATGCAGGTTCGTGGCCTGGTCGCGGCTGCCTCTGCCCTGGGAGCTCATTATGTTTGAAAGGGGGACAGAGAGGTCAGATCTGTCAACCGCTCCATCCGTAATTATATCTGCAGCTACAGGCATAATTTGCTCTTCACAATAATGTATCTAAACCACAGGATGTATTTGTTCGCTTGTGGAGGCATGAAATAGGAAACATCGTGTACAGGCATAGGAAATGTAATATCAGTCTTATATTGTCCAACAAAATGGGACGTCAACTCAATAACAATACAGTTTTCCTTCAGACAACTATGATAGGAATTGTCATAAATCAAAATTTTGTAGGTTGCTTAGCCAGTGGTGATTTTAAGAATGACTTCCTTCACCCCAGACACTTCCTCCAGCTCATGAGATTGCACAAAACCTTGGATCAGTTCCAGGATTGGCTAAGGATCCTACTGGATGATTTTTTGAGTGTACATCACTTCTCAATGTTCAACAAATGGGTCCGGATATAAAAAATGGTGCCTCTGCTCAATTTCATTTCTCTCCAGAGACTAGGTCAGGAATCGGAATACACTAGACCACCGGAAGTTGTAGACCACGCACCGACCAATCAGTGAAGGCCTGCGTGGTACAGCACAACAGTAAACAAAGTGGTTGAGATGAATGTAGGCGAAGGCATACATTCTGTGTTGGCAACAATTCCAGAGATCGAGGATTTAAAGCCAGAACAAAGCGAATATTTGGTGAATTTTATCAAGGTGAAAGACGTTATTGCCCTTCTTCCTAGGGGATTTGGGAAAAGCTTGATATACCAGTTAGCCCCGTTACATTACATACATCACGACCAAATTGCAGCAATTGGTTAAAAGAATAAAGTCCATGCCTACAAGCGAACGAATCCTAATGCTGCGAGGTCAGACGTTTTTCACGAAGTGAAACCGGCTGATAAGGCAGGCTAGTGAGATAGTGCTTCAGGCTTAGAGATAAAATTTAGTGATAAAAGACATGAAAGATTTGTGAAAAATATCAAATAGTGATTTTTCTGACAAGTATTGGATTGTGATATAATGTAATTCTGTTTTAAACTCGTCAAAAAAATTGACAAAAAGATTGAAATATGAATATGAATTAACAAACTAATACAAGAATCACATTTTAGAACATGTTTGTATAGATCCAAACTACAGGGTTTATCATTTTTTTATGTAGTAGCAGACAGGATGTTGTGGTACTTCAAAAACTGCAGCCATTTGCTAATTACTTCCATTCAAATTTGCAAATGTGATTAATCTTGCAGCCCTAGTTGTGAGAGTATTTTATAAAAAGCTGGACAACAAAATAGTTCATTTTTATAATGCAGTAAATGTGACCATTATGGAAATTACTGGCATTGTAACTTTCAGCATTATGTTAACCAACGTGAATGCTAAAGGAAACTATAACTCCTGCATTATGCCATAGTAAAATGATAAAATATTATCTAATGCACCAAGTCGATCAAACCCAGAGACAAACTACAGTAAAATGTAGATAATCATTATAAAGAAGTGCCATGCTACTGACAAATCACTATCAAACATGCTCCTAACATATCTGTTCAAATAGAATTCATCATTTGGGCTTAAATAAATGCGCATCAGAGGAGCGAGGCCATGCTTGTGCAGGGCTGAAGTCTTGATAAATGACTTGCATGGTTGGAGATTGTATTTTGCCAGTGGTTTATTAATGATCGTGACAGGGAGAAAGGCAGAGCAAAGCAAACGCAATGACTATCAATCAGAGATCCTTTTATATCCATTAGGCAGCAGTAGCAGAGATAGTGTATCCGTATAGGCAGTTTAAACAGATTTCACACTGACAGTGAACCATGAGGATGTGCCATTGATTCACAGCTAAATGTCTAAATGTTTAATTATAAAGGCTGCAACATGGAAGCACGCCAGTTAACATATAATTACAATCAGGGGTCTTCTAATGGAAGTATTGATCAAAATGATGTACATTCTGCAGGGATTGAAAAGAGTTTAATAGAGCACTATGGAACTATGTCTGTTGGGTTGGGTGCTATGTCTGTTGGTCTATGTCTATTTTTGCCACAGTACAGGAAGTACTATCTTGCACCATCTTGTATGAATTTTATTTCCATTAGCTGTATTGCACAAAAATTCATTGCAAAACATCTTACAGTGAGAGGAGTTGCCTACCCACAGATCTGAACGGTAACTTATATGAAACCTTGTCTTTATGGAGATACATCATGGATCTATTAAAATAACTGGATAGGGTGTTGCTGCTTGTAGCTGCCTCCAGTTGACGAAATGAACACTCACTGGTACTTCAGCGGAAAAAATCCCCTGGGCTGAGAGAGGATTTTTCTCATAGAGCACAATGTAATCACAAACTGCTCATGTTCAGCTGACAGGGCACCTACATCTTTTAAAAATGTAGGATTTTGTGGTGATTTATACCTATTTTTAGATCATAAACTTTTTCTCAACTCAAAATCCTTCAGTTTTTTTCAGTCTTAAAAAAACCTTTCAAATCATTAGCTTCACTCTATCTCGGGCATGTCCAAACTATGGCCCAGGGGCCAAATGCGGCCCTCAGACAAATTTTTCTTGGCCCTCAGGCTTCCAGGTGAATTGGCCCAAATTGCCTTGCATCAATTAAAAATGTACTTTTTACTGCAAGTTATTTGAAAATCTACCTTGATAAAGCCAGTATTTAATATTTAGCGTGTGGTTTTAAGGATCGTAGCATGAATAAAGACTGATGGCTTATTTAACGTGTTTAAACATGCACATATTTCAGCTATTCACTGTATTGTGCTCCAGTCTACGGCCCTCGATCGGCTCTCTGCTTCATCTGTGTTTAGATATGTGGCCCTTGATGAAAAATGTTTGGACACCCCTGCTCTATCTCCTCTTGCTCTGATTAGTCAAAGCGATCACGTGATACACGAAACTGCGCTCTGTGTGTGCGCTTGTGTGCATTCGCGTGTGGCATTCGCAATCGGCCAAGAGCCACTGGAAGTACCTAGCCGGGCTAAAGGGTAATCTGGAGTCATGCGCCCACTGGCCCATTGACTTGAATGGGTGGCCATTTTGAGACCCCGGGACTTCAGATAGATCAGTTTAATGCTATAGGGTAAAAGGTTTTAATTAAAGCAATAACATGTTTAAAGGAGAGCCAGAAAAGTTACACAATTTTTTATGTGACCTACAAAGAGGATCAGAAGTTTTTTTTTTATCTTTAACTCATGCATTCATTTTGCCAAGTTTTATAAAGAAACAGATTTTAAAGACTATGTCAGCTGGTGGCAGGAAGAAGATGGAGAAGCTTTAAAAGGTGCACTGCATAACTTTTCTGGTTGAGGGACCTGCTTGTGTCCATGGAGATGTAATTGCTTAGCCTGCAATGTTGCATGATATGGCATTATACATTTCTATCATTTATTTATTACATTCTATTTCTATTGCTGAAAGATACAATAATTCCCAGTATGAATAAGAGCGACTCCACGGTTCTGAATTGCAATGTCTGTGTTTAATCTATACTGTGGAACATTCTACACAAAGCAATAACATTTCCATGGAGACAAGTAGTGGACCCTCCATCAGAAAAGTTTCACAGTACACCTTTAACTAAAAAAGCACAAGGAGAGAGCAAGAGAGCATGCACGTTTTAGTCTCCCTCATTGAAGTTATGCTCCAACTTCATTAGTGTTCGCAAATGTCTTTTAATTTCAGCTTAATTACCTACGTCTCCACTTTGCTTTATAACAGTCACAGTATCTGATGCGCCATTGTCATTGTGCTAATTAAAAAACACATCTTTGTTTTGCACATTCATTCACACATGAGGATCATTTAACACATCACAGGCTCCATTTGAGTTATCATCACCATCAGAACTAATGAGACAATTGAAAACAAAAAGATAGAAGCTTTAAAAGATAAGGAATCAAAGTCAGTTTCATATTCAAGATTACTAAAACAATTAATTACTATAATATTAATAGACTTCTACAAAAATGTACAATACACAATAAACTATATACATCTTTTTAAATGTCTCAACCTGCTGCCTGTCTGGTCAGATTTGAAAGCGCAGAATGATTTTAGGTCTGCCTTATTCATTTGTATTAGTGTTGAGGAAGTTTGTTTAGACTCAGTTTAAAAGCCCTTTACTATTCAAAATTGATTCATGTGAGCTTTAAGCCATGTTATAATGTTGTTACCTCATCAAAAAGATATCTGGAGCTGTGTTCTGTTTTAATCACACATGTTTGTGTAATCCAAATTAACAGCTTCCTTTTACCTCTAATAGAGTAGGGACTGGGAATTCCAGGGCTGAAATTATCCAGATGATTCTAGCAGAGGTTATGGAGTTAAAAAACACAGTGGAGCACTTCCTGTATGACATCACAAGCTGGCACAGAGTGTTTTCAGTTTAAGAGAAGAACTCAGCCTAAATATGCAGGGTTTGTGTGTTAAAAATATGTGAATGAAACAAAACAAAACTCCGGGTATGTTTTTGATAAGACAACATTATAACATGGATCAGAGAATAGCATAATATGGGCTCTTTAGTCCTGGTTTAGTCCTGGTTTAGTCCTGGTTTAGTCCTGGTTTAGTCCTGGTTTAGTCCTGGTCCCGTTTTGTTACAGTCCTCAGCCTTGTTTCTGATTTAGTACTAAGTTTGGTTTATGTGTGAAGGTCGACTATTTTCTGAATTGGCACTTGTTTGACAAAATTTGACAGTAAAGTGTGTGAGAGTACAACATGGTAAGAGCTGGAGGCTGGAGCTGACTCATCCTCCACAGGACACAGTCTCTGAGGCTCACAGAACTCAGTGCTTTTCAAACATGAATTGTAGAATTAATGGGGACTATAACAGAACAGACTT